TGGTTTTGAGACTTCATTTAAGACAACGTTTTCCATTCTGAATAAGTATCTAGACCCAAAAGCTGCCAAATGGAAGCCCATATGTCATATTCAGTCCATAGTTGTGTTTTGGTTGGCTCACGTGCTAAAGACAATTTTTGCTAATATTTAATATTTCATGTGGATTCTTCATCTCCTTTTAGAGAAAAACCCAAAGACCTGGCAACACTGAGCCCATACTTCTCTAAGGAAGAGATCCTCAGGGTACAGTGTCATATAATACCTGCAGTATTGGCACCATCTCGGAACTTGTTTGTTAGAGATGCAATTGCTCAGGCTTCATCCCAGACCTGCTGGAGCTTGAGCCTAACACAGAGTTTTCAATAAGCCACTCAGGCTATTCTTATCCAAGCTTAAGTTTCCTACATATTGCTCTGAGACAACAGTTGGTAGGAGCAGAATGAGGTTGCTACAATTCCCCCAAATCCCTTCTGCCTTACCTCTGTGCAATGCAGTTATTACCAACACATGAGGTCCTGTAAGAATGTATGCCAACCACCCTGAAGATAGCCCATACAGCCTCTGAGAATTACTGACTATCCCTGGGCCTTATTCTGTCCTAGGAGTTAACTGACAGATGCATAGGGGGTGGTGGCATGGGGATGAAGTACATCAGCACCCCTTGTTGGCGAGGAATCTCAGTGGAGACTGGGCCAAAATTTGGAGGACTAGATGTTCGTCTAAGCCACTGGAAAAAATTAGAGGACAAGAATCTATGATAAATTGATGCTTAAGATAGCCCAATTGAAGGTGTAGGAGTTGTAGGTCCAGGGTCTGCACTGGAAGAGGATGAACAGGAACCATGAGGAAAGTAACTGTAGTTAGCAGAGAAGCCCCCCTGAAAGAGGCCAGTGACTAGAATTGTGGGGTTTTCAAGGAAAACTCAGTCATGGAGACAACAGCGAAGTAGTCTAGCAACTATGTTTTGTCCCTTCAAGAATACCTTGCCCGGGCTTCACCTCTGTTCTCTTCGCTGAGAACATGAGGCAGCCATGTTATCATGGAGCTTATTTTACCCCCCTCTTCTCCTGCTTTCCCTTCTTCTGCTGCTGCCTCTCCAATCCTACCATAAATCATATAGCGGTAAGTGGAGACCATTGGCAACCAAGGACAGGAGAGGAAAGGACTCTAGGGGCATTCACCACCTCCCCTGCAGTTCTGAAAGCACCCCAGGGAGGTGTCTGGGAGTTGCACATGGTCACAAGCACAGCCTACCCACCAGTTCTCAGGGTAACCAAGGTGGCAGGGAGAATGGAAAACAAACCACTTACATTCAAGGGAGACACCCCAGCCTCCACGGAGGAAGCAGATGAGCCTGGTTGTCAGGGTAGAGAAGGGCTGGCAAATCATGCTGTGTAACAAAGTGTAATTGCCAGGGACACTACATTCAGAGTTCAATTACAGAAGAAGACAGTGGAAGACAGTTTCCCCTTCATATCTGTCTCTTAAAGGATTCACTTGTCTTAAGGTATAAATTAAAAATTCAATTTCAAGTGGTTCAGGAAAGGACAAAATGGCATGTGAATCCAGAATCACATCTTTAGGAAAATTTAAGTCTCAGTTCTAGTTTAAATTTCTCATTGATGCAGGAGAATTCTCAGAATATTGTTGCAGCTGAGCAACATTCCTCAGATTTTCATTTTTTCTGACCAGCCCATAAAGAAGTATTTTTTTCTCCTATATACACACTCCTTGTTCTCCTCTATTCTTCCACACAGTCCTCCATCTGAGATATGATATGTTCAAAACTTCATTATGAATTATCTGGTTTTTTTTTTCTTCAAGAATATAGGCCCCTAAAGGGATTAGTTTTCTTCACTGATGTGTCCCTAACCCTGGAATTGTGGCTGAAACAGACAAGGCACCCACCCAACAAATATGTGTTGAATGAATGAAAAATGAGACAAATCTGTTTGTGTACAATCTCTTCTGGTGATGTTCAACTTTTACAGGAGTTTAGGTTTTTTAGCTTTCCATTACTGTGACAAAATACCTGAGAAAATAACTGTTTTGGTTTAGATATTAGGTGTCCCCAAAAGCTCATGTGTGAGATAAGGCAAGAAGGATTAGAGGATTGAGTTATGAGAGCCTTAACCTAATCAGTGAATTAATCCCTTGATAGGAATGAACTGAGAGGGAACAGAAGGCAGGTAAGGTGTGATTGGAGGATGGGGGTCCCTGGTGATGTGCTTTTGGGGTTTATATTTTTTATCTGGTGAGTGGAGTCTCTCCCCACCCCCTTCTTTCTCTCTCCTTCCTGTGATGTCTTGAGCCCTTCCCTTCACCACCCTCTTCCACCATGATGGGCTACTTTACCATGAGCCCCAAGTAATGAAGCTGGGGTCCATGAACTGAGACCTCTGAAATCCTGAGCCCCCAAACAATCTTTTCCTCCTTAAAACTGTTCATGTTTTTGTCAGTTCTTTCGGTCACAGCCATGAAGAAGCTGACTAAAACAATAACTTAAGGGAGGAAAGATTCATTTTGCTCATGGCTTCAGAGGTCCATGATCAGCTGGCTCTATTGCTGAGATGAGGCAGAATATCATGGGGAAAACCTGAGTCTAGGCAAAGCTGCTCACCTCATGGTGGCTAGAAAAGAGAAAGAGGGAGAGGGAGAGGGAAAGAGAGAGAGAAAGAATGGGCAGGAGGAAGGGCTAGAGACAAGACATAGTCTCCAAGGGCATGTCCCCAAGAACCCAATCCCTTTAACTAGATTCTACTCCCTACAATTTCCACCATCTCCCAGTAGAACACTCAGCTATGAATCATGGTGCATTCACGTCCCCAAAGCCCCCATTTCTGAGCATTAATGCATTAGGGACCAAGCCTTCAACACATAAGCCTATGAGGGACATTCCAGATCCAAGCTGTTACAGTGGGCTTCTGTTGGCCTTTCCATACAATAAAACAAGACTTGAATACTGTCCCTGCACTGTTCCCAGAAATTAAAAAGAAAATATGATCTTCTGAGATCATACTAACAATTAGAAATATGAAAAATAAATTTCAAGAATAACATGGTGCTTACAAATTTTAACTTTCTGGCCTAGCAATTTCAGTGGGGGAAAAATACCCTAAAAATATTACAGCCAGAGAAGTCAAAACATGCTCTGTGGCTTCATTAATTATACCAAGAACTTCAACTAGCTGCTAGAAAAATCTTTATAGAGACAGTACTGATGGGAAATATTACAGGTCTCAGAAATCAAAACCCCCTTACAGAAAATTAGTGGGCAGGAACTACAGAGAGGAGAAAATTAGATATATTTAAAATATAACTGTAGAAAGGTTTAATGCAATTTAAGATATACAGATTGAGATACAATATAAAAACCTATATTCGTTGTTATTAAAAACCTCCCTGAAAGTCACTATCATTTAATGAATGTTTTAACTTGAGATTTAGTGAATCTCATAAATTGGTGATTTTTTTTGAATGGGAATATGATTGTGTTTGGAAAAAGCAATTTAAAAAATATTTTTCAAATTTTTAGCATTTGCTTATATTCATCCATTTGTCTAAGGATCCATCCATACATGGAGAAATGAAGTATATAAACTCAAAACAGTAACAGTGGGACACTAGAATAACTAGTGCAAGACAAGCACAATGCTGACACACACATAAAGTTCCATTGCACTGAAATGTCTCCAAGTGTAAATTATGCAATAGAAGTAAATGGGTAACTTGGTCATTTGTCAGAGAAAACAGATTAGGTTTGAACACACTTGGAGAGAGTTTCTAAATACCTTAGAGAATTAAAACTGGATGGCATTTTATTCATTCTGCTGTAAGAATTAAAGTCAATGTAATGTAAATATTGGAAATAAACCCCTGCCAATAATAATTAACGAATTAAAGGTCAGGCTAGTATATCCGGTGTAGCTCATAAAGTTGTCAGAACACTGAGGATTAGGAAATTATAGATCATAATGCCCAAACAATACACACTGCCCTGGAGTGACCCTGCTATTGTGACCTGTGACCTGAGATACCCTATAAGGGCACGTATAAGATATGCATACTTCAGAGTATTCCTGCTCATCTTCTTAACCCTTGAAGGAATTTGTAGGAAGGACAAGGATCATAACTAGCATTCCATAAAATATGAACATGGAAAAAGAAAGCTCTTTAAATACATTAATTACTGTTTGTATGTGTGTGTATGTATACATGTACTTATATGCATATATATATGTATATGTATACGTACACATACACACACATACACACACACACACACACACATATATATATATAATATATATATTATATATATATATATATATTTTTTTTTTTTAAGGCCTTTGGGCATTTCTAGAGAAAGTATCACACCTGAGTCCAGCTTCTTGTTTGCTGTGTTGTACTTATATTCCAGTTATTTCTATATTATCTGAAAGACCCTTTATCTTAGTAGAATAGCAATTTCTTAACGGACAGGGTGTATCTAATTCACCTTCCTAGTCCAGAGTCTAATAAGTACAGTTATTATTATTTAAAATTTTGTGTTTTTTTCTTCTCTCACATTTTAATTCAATTAATACTATATAAATGGTGGTAGGCTATGTGTTGTCCAGGGACAAAGAATTTAAGAAGGTATTAAAGTTGCCTGCCCTCAAGGAGAGAGTTGAAATGGAAGTAGAGTTAGATAGAACAAGAAGGAATCTACGATAATAACTTGGGATAGGTGAAATGGAATGTGGTCTTATCTACATTTTATTTTGCAAAGGAATTATATCAGGTGTTTTTTTCCTAGTGGGAAAAAAGCCCATAATTCAAAATATATACAATTATTGGAAGTGTTTAATTACACTTATACTTGATGACTGATTTATATTTACTTGGAATTTTAGCACAAGTTAAGTATGACAAATATTCAAAGTCTTTCACAGATATTAGTACAATATCACAAGAATTAACACTGAGAAAAGAGCTTCAGAGGTTTCCAGCTACTGTACCTTGGCTACTTCTTCTTGGAAAGCCACGAGATTCAAATGGGAGATATTAACTAGGTCTGGCCCGTACACCACGGTTATCATCCGATGCTCCAGGCGCCCAATGTTCCCCACATCCAGAAGTTCACGTAATTTTGGATCCTGGTAATAAATGTTGAAAAAAATTTAGTTTATATCTAGAGATTCCAAAATGACAGCATAACCTCAAACAATTAAAGCCAGAAAGACTTCAAAACAAAGTTGCCTTTTATTCTTAATTGAAAATGGTTGGAAGTGAAGGCCTCCACCTCCAGTGGCCTAGAAGCAACTTGCCCCAACGGTTTGTGGAAAGAGAATTTCTGGCTCAAGACCTATGGTCCTTCACTAAAGTGTCCTTTCTGTCATACTGCCATTCAGCAAAATATTTATGTGTCATAATTATCCCTTTATTCCCTCCAATCATCCCATGAATTGCATATTGAAATGAGAAAACTCTACCTCATTCCTTGATTCATGGACATATTGAGACAAAGAAGGTAGTTCTTGTGGTATCAAAATTCATCATTATGCCTGCTATAGGTTGGATCTTAAATCTCCCCCAGAAGCTCACGTGTTAAAGACTTATTTACTAGCTTGGCACTATTAGGAGATGGCAGGAACTTTAAGAGGTGGAACTTGGTGATCTTAGGTCATGGGAGGCCTGCCTTGAAGGAGATATCGGGGTCTTGGCTCCTCATCTTCCTGTCTTTTTCTTTCACTTCCTGGTCATGCGGTGAATAGTTTGCTATGCTACATGCTCCTACCACGATGTGCTGCCCATCTCTTGCCGGAGGACTGAAAATAGGAAGTCTCCCTGATCATGGACTGAAATTTCTCAAACTGTAACCCCAAATAAGCCTTTTCTCTTTTATAATTTGTTTATCTCAGGTATTTAGGATCGTGACATAATGCCACCTAGGGCTGGGGCAGAAACTTAGCCAAGGCTCTTAGAATCTGACACTGAGTACAGATGTCAAGAGATAGGCTATGACGACAGTGTAGAAAATGACAGCACCTGCCATGAACAGGTTAATTGAAATGCTATCCTCAGAATGTTCTGGGACTTGGAATGCAGGGAACTTCTGCCATCTTTTCAGAGCAAGCTGCATTCTTTGGAACATCATAAGTGAGAATCCCTTGGTGATACAGCCTTTCTGGGAAAGGGAAGTTTCCAAACTTTCAGAACTCAAAATAAAACCTAAAATAGGGCTTAGTCAACTTGGCTGGATTTATTTTCCTCCCGCAGGACGGGCCCTAAAGGACTTCTCAGTCCATGCAGAAAATTAGCATCAAATCAATCACTTAGCAAATTTGCTGCCAGCTTCTGAACAAGGAACAAACTTGAATTCTTATTTATTTAGCTAAATGCCAGGCCAACAGGGCCTGATTACTGAGACTGGTTATTCTGACCTCCCTTTTGAGGTTTATTTTATATATACCGTCCTTACAAAGAAATAGCGGAATTGAAAAACCAAGAAAGTAAACAAAGTCTTTCCAGCTGAGTTACTTTATTTGGTGCCATTAATTCTCTCTTTAGTTAATAAAACTTTTTTTCTCTGTTTGGCTGCACAAAGAGGAACATTTTCAGGTAAGTTATGAAGTGAGAAAACCCCATTTCAAAGCTTTGCCCAATATAACTGAAATCTTAACTGGACTAACAGGTTGAGAGCTTATCAAGTAAATTAGGCCTCCCAGAAAGATCAAAAGCTACCCAAAAGCATCAATTTTCATGACCCAGAAAAGAAGAGGTGTTTAGTAAAAGTTTTATGGAATAAACAGTAAAAGCAAAAAAGGGAATTTTTTTTTTAACACCCTAGCATTAATGAAAGATTAAAGGAGAATGTTCGGGAAGAATAATCATTTTGCAAAGGCTAATTAAACAAGTATACCAGCTGTTTTGTGAAATGATTAATTGCACTGCAATTTTTGAACACCATTGAGGCAAGGTTAGAGCGAAAACATGCTTGATCGACACTTAGAATTTTTCTTTTTTCCTTTTTGTATACTTGGAAGAGAAAAATAATTATCTGGAACCATCGAAACTTGTAATTATAAATCACAAGTTTTAAGTCAGTGATTACAGAGTCCATCAATATCTCTACTTCTGTAACATTTAATGGGGAAATATTTGGGTATAAATAGGCTTTGAACTCCTTTTCCTTTCAGTGAGGGCCATGAGAATTACCCTCTGTCTTTTCTTGTCCTAAGCATTTTCTATTAAGTCACTATTACTTTAGTAATTCTCATGTCCATTCAAAACACTTTTGCTAGCAGGGCCTGGTGATACATGCTGGTAATCCAGCTATTTGGGAGACTGAGGCAGGATGTTTGTGAATTCAAGGCCAGCCTGATCAACATAATGAGATCTGTCTCAAAACAAGAAAGGGCTGAGGGCTGAGTGGTAGAGTGCTTTGCCTCGAAAGTGCACTGCCCTGGGTTTAATTCCTAGCATCAAACACACCAAAAGAAAAAAAAATCAAAACATTAACAAAAAAACACTTGTTCTCAAATAGTTGACTACCTAAAGAGTTCTAGTTTTCAGCCTTTTGGGGAAAAATTGTGAGGGTTACAGGTTCACTTGAATTATATAGGAACTAAAAAACAGTAGGAATCACCTGTAGGGAGTGCCCTTAATAGAAAAGAATTCTGGAAAAGAGCTGAAATCCACACTGTTCCTAACAATATTATATACAGTCAACAAGAATTAATAAGAAAGATGATCAACTCTTTGTGGCAACTTTGTACAGTTTTCCCACTAATGGTTGTACAGGTATATTTAAAAAGACTCTCAGCATTTATGAAATTAGAAGTTTATAGTAAAGTACTGAGAAGTAATGAAGCAGGCTGGTAAAATGAAGCTGATGACTGAATCAGAGGTGTAGGAAGTTGGGGATTCAATTGTATATAAGTCTGTATTTCTAGGATGATTATATCACATATTTTTGTTTGGTTTGGTTTTAGTACCAGGGATTGAACCCAGGGGCATTCTACCACTAAGCTACATTCCACATCCTCAGTCTTTTAATTTTGTATTTTGAGACAGGGTGACTCTAAATTGCTAAGGCTGACCTCGAACTTGTGATCCTCCTGCCCAGTCTCCTGAGTTGCTAGAATTATAGGCTTGCACCACTGTGCTCAGGTATACCATAAAGATTTTAAAAGGATTACTGAGCATGAGTCAGAGGAACAGTGAGATTTGAGAAAAATCTTCTCAAGAGAAAAGATATTTTTAAATCATGTAGCTCTGGATACAATGAAATAATTCAAGGTAAATGATTTAGAATATATAACATCAAGTCTGTGTTTCCTCATGGAGTACGCTAATTCAAAACTATATTTAACTATTTTCCCACCATTGATTGTTTAACATTATATCTTTTTTTCATCTATTTCATTTATATAAACAACAAACTTGGTTATGTCAGAATTCTTCTTTAAGTAACAATTTAATTTTTCTTTTTACCTGTACTGATACTTTTTCAAATTTCAAACACAGTTCCTATTTGAGCATCATTGACATGTGAAGGGTATAATGAAAATGATATTCATTTCTTCCAGTGCCAAAAGTTGTTCTTAGCCATTTTCAGATCATCAGAGAATACACAAAGGGAATTATCTGGAATGATGAACTGCAAAAGCACATTGGGAGGACCTTACAGATGGAAAGAATTTAATGGATACAGATGTCTAAAAATTCATCATTTCTGAAGCAATCTCAGATCTAAAAAAATGAGTGGCCATTTTCCAAACACAAACAAACAGAATCAGACTAGCAACAATAACAAAGGCCTATAGACAGTTTTCCTGTGAACTACCGTGTCCCTAAAATCTATTCTACCAAGCGCTTTTATGTCTGCATGAATTTTGATGATTGAACCTGCCAATAAACTTCCAGAGAAGGAGTTACCTACCTAGGTTACTAGCAGAAGTAAATGCATCTCTCTGTCCCTACAATTGACATAAATGCTGTGGATATTAAAAATGCATCTCTTTGGCTCTACAATTGACATAAATGCTGTGGACATTAAAAACAAATAAATAAAAACAGAAAAAAAGGGCTATCTCCACAACTCTGCAAAAACATGCATTTCAAGTTGAAGAACACCAAAGCATATAACTCAGAAATAAGTAAGAGGTGAAGCCAACTTGGAATTTTCTACTTTTCCCCTATCTGTCATTCAAGGGTTGCTTTTGGCAGAGAATATACTACATGTATCTCCACAGTTAAAATTAATCAGACCAACTAGGAATTCTGGCAGTTCTAATTTAACTCCACTTTTAAAGTTAAATCCTAGATAATCTCTATTCCCATAAGAGTTACAAAATAGAGACTAAGTAAATTCATTTTCTCTCAATGATCAGGATTCATGATTGAATTACTTCATGCCCTTTGCAAAGAAAGTTGAGTTTACTCACTAGTGTTTGCCATTCCTATGTAACTAAAGAAAGTATAGATGGTTCTCCACTTAAGAATGGAGGACTCAATTACTGCACGTTTCTGTAATTATAATATACAACTTAACACATTAGAGATTGATGGAAAGAATAAACACTAGCTAAGGAATGCTTGTTCAATAAGTGTTAAATGCCAGTTTGAACCCACCCTCCTTAATTTGACTTTTAAAAAAAGCTATTTTATTTGTATAAAATATCATGAAATGTACCTTTTTTGGATATTAGGCATATTAAAAATTTACTAGGATAAATCTGTGTGTGTGTGTGTGTGTGTGTGTTTGTGTGTGTGTGTATGTGTACATTACTGGGGATTGAACATAGGGGTGTCCTACAACTGAACTACATCCCCAGCCCTTTTTAAAAATTTGAATTTTGATACAGGATCTTGCTGAGTTACCAAGACTGGCTTCATAGTTGTGATCTTCCTACCTCAGCCTCCCCAGCAGCTGGGATTACAGGCGTGTGCCCCTGGGCCCAGCAGAGTATTTTTTCTTAGCTTATAATACAATATTCTCTATCTGTATTACCATTTTCTGGATGCAACTTTAATCCACAATTTATATGAAAGTCTTTCCATTAACTCTCTGTAAGACAATCAGAAATAAAAAAGATGGATTCTTAACTATACTTAAGTGGGATCCGTATAAAAATAGGCAAGTGTTTCAGTTGGCAGAATAAAAAATAAATGAGCATCCATCCGAGTCATCTCCTGAAGTAGTATTTTAGGCAGTTCATTAAAAACATAAAATAATCCATATGCTAAATTAAAAGACGAAAAAAAAAATAAGGTCTGATGACACTAGTTGCTTTCCTAGGAAAGAATGGAAGCTAAATGGTCAAGTTTAATTATCGTTTGTACAATCATCCTTACTGAAAGTAAAAGTGCATGAAGTATATAGCAGTTTTTTTTTTTAAGTAATTGGAGAAAGTGGTTAGCTTTCCCCTCATTATGTTGTCAGTGTTTGTCAAACTTTAAAATTCTAAAGTATTGACAGCTTGTCACTCATGTTTTAAACTCTCTCCACCCTCTTCTGCAGTCTTTACATATGTAACCACCTGACTGCCAGCAAAGTTCCTAGGCACCTCTGCAGTGAATGCATAAAACCCACATGCCCTAGGGGGAATGGCAAGTGCAAAGAACAAAATTAGGGGTCATATGTTCCTTCACATTTAAATTCCCAATAGATGGCAAAACACTAGAGCCCTCTTCAGCCTTCAGTTGAGGCCAGTACTTCTAGGTAAT